TATTCTAGGCTGAGCAGGGTTACACGTGGCCCCTTGACAAGGAGCATTGTTTAGCTGTGGGACCTTATCCAGGAGAGCAGATTCAGGAAGGGAACTTGCAGATAGGCTGTTCAAGGCCTTCTCAATTTTACCAAATGTCACTGCAGCACATAATGTTGAACTTTAATGTTAGTCTTTACACTGCATTTTCTTGATTAGGATAGGGCTCAGTCACAGGCCAGCTATTTCTCATGAATACATATGATTGTATTTAACACAGTGTATCTTCATATCTGCTCTATAAATTTGGTTGGGTTCAATGAGTAAAAGTTACACCACAGGATTTGGATGGAAATGCTGTCAAATTTTATCTTCTTCAAATGAAATTAAACATGGTTAAAGGCCACATATTAAGACTGGTAAGAAATCCAGTACCAGTTGTTTAAGGGAGTCCCTCCCTATTCTGTTTATAAAACAATGCAATTGCCACTTTCTCTGCCCATTCAGCAATGGAGCCTAAGGGATTCTAAGTGTTAGAAGAGGTGTTCTAGTGCCAAGGAGCTATATCTTCCCTGGCACAAACTGGTCATCTGTGCCTGTGGTCTTTCAAATTCAAAGACACTGTCATAGGTTCAGGGGCCCTTCAGATATAGAATCCACAGTCCAGAAATCCCTACCAAGCCCTTCAACTCATAGGAAGCCTTTAGCCAATGCCGGGGTCCAACCCCAGCAGGTCCAGGGGTCCCCAAAGGTGTAGACGGAGTCGGCGAAGAAGGAAGGACACGGAGACAGCGTTCAGTTGATCAGCAGCCTAGCCAGGATCTCTAGCCAGGATCTCCAGCCAAGTTCTGGTCTGGATCTCCAGTGAAGTTCTGGTTCAGGATCTCCAGCCAAGTTCTGAGTCCATGTTCTCTTGCTAGGTTCCCCAGCCAGGTTCTGTAGCCATGTTCCCTCGCTAGGTTCTCCAGCCAGGTTCTGTCCAGGTTCTCCAGCCAGGTTCAGTCACCAGGTTCTAGTCAGGTTCTCTTGCCCATTTCTGTAGTCAGGTTCAGTCCAGGATCTCTTGCCATGTTCTCTCCAGCGAAGTTCTTCTGTCTCTAGTTCTGTGTAGGTTCTGTCTTCTTAGTTCTGTGTTCTAAGTTCTGTGTTCTAAGTTCTGACTCTTGCTGTCTTGTTGCATCTGTATTTATACCAGTTGATTCAATCCTATCAATCTCTATTACAAAGGTTAGGGCGTTTCTTATCTTCATTCCAGGGAGTAAAGATTATGTAGCTTAAGCACGATTGTTCGTAGTTAAAGTGATTAATTACCCGCCTGGCACTTAGTTAAGAGGTTTTATTCCCTCCCTAACTTCAGGGGCAAATCCCCACCTGGGGAAACAACCTTTCTCAGAGACCTTGGTTAAAACACATAGTGCCAAGAAGGTGAGCAAACATATTAAGAACAGTATGCCATATATGCCAGGTCCCTTGAAACAGCAAGCATGGGCCGGCTCCCGGCAAATTCCCCCTTTTTTATTTTTTAAAAGCAGGCATTAAAAAGAAAAAACCCAAATGCTCTCTTGTATCCACTTTAAGAGTAGGATTGGCGCTTTCCGCTATTACCTGAGTCCTGATCTATCACCCCAGGGAGAGCTTGCCAATCCTGCACTTTCCTGGGGTGGAAAGGCTGCAGTGGGGTTAAGGATAAGGCTCCTTGGGCCTACCTCCTCCCATGCCTTTACATTTACCTTTCCTTCCTCAGAAAAGCATGGACATACTTCTTGTATAAAACGTTCTGTCTGACTGGGAGTAACCTTAATTCCTCTGCTAGCAAGCATATGTGTTAAAAGAACAATACAGAGTCTTTTTTCTTTAGACTCAGTATGGCACATCTTCTTAATCTAAAGATCAATACAGAGTCTTCTTTCTTTGGACTCAGTATGGCACATCTTCTCAATCTAAGGATCAATACAGAGTCTTCTTTCTTTGGACTCAGTATGGCACATCTTCTCAATCTAAGTTCTGTACTATCCACCTTCTTACCCTACTTATCCTCTATAGGGGGGTCTGTAGCACCCTGGTGGAGTCCTATCCGTCCTGAGTGTGGGGGTTTTCAATGGGGGGGGGGCCTTACCTAGGGGAATCCTGTTCCTGGGGTTCCCAAAGGTGTGGACGGAGTCGGCGAAGACTATCCACCCTCTTCATACGGTGGAGTCCTATCCGTCCCGAGTGCAGGGCGCTTACCTAGGGGTCCCTGTTCGGGCGCCAGATGCCGGGGTCCAACCCCAGCAGGTCCAGGGGTCCCCAAAGGTGTAGACGGAGTCGGCGAAGAAGGAAGGACACGGAGACAGCGTTCAGTTGATCAGCAGCCTAGCCAGGATCTCTAGCCAGGATCTCCAGCCAAGTTCTGGTCTGGATCTCCAGTGAAGTTCTGGTTCAGGATCTCCAGCCAAGTTCTGAGTCCATGTTCTCTTGCTAGGTTCCCCAGCCAGGTTCTGTAGCCATGTTCCCTTGCTAGGTTCTCCAGCCAGGTTCTGTCCAGGTTCTCCAGCCAGGTTCAGTCACCAGGTTCTAGTCAGGTTCTCTTGCCCATTTCTGTAGTCAGGTTCAGTCCAGGATCTCTTGCCATGTTCTCTCCAGCGAAGTTCTTCTGTCTCTAGTTCTGTGTAGGTTCTGTCTTCTTAGTTCTGTGTTCTAAGTTCTGTGTTCTAAGTTCTGACTCTTGCTGTCTTGTTGCATCTGTATTTATACCAGTTGATTCAATCCTATCAATCTCTATTACAAAGGTTAGGGCGTTTCTTATCTTCATTCCAGGGAGTAAAGATTATGTAGCTTAAGCACGATTGTTCGTAGTTAAAGTGATTAATTACCCGCCTGGCACTTAGTTAAGAGGTTTTATTCCCTCCCTAACTTCAGGGGAAAATCCCCACCTGGGGAAACAACCTTTCTCAGAGACCTTGGTTAAAACACATAGTGCCAAGAAGGTGAGCAAACATATTAAGAACAGTATGCCATATATGCCAGGTCCCTTGAAACAGCAAGCATGGGCCGGCTCCCGGCAAATTCCCCCTTTTTTATTTTTTAAAAGCAGGCATTAAAAAGAAAAAACCCAAATGCTCTCTTGTATCCACTTTAAGAGTAGGATTGGCGCTTTCCGCTATTACCTGAGTCCTGATCTATCACCCCAGGGAGAGCTTGCCAATCCTGCACTTTCCTGGGGTGGAAAGGCTGCAGTGGGGTTAAGGATAAGGCTCCTTGGGCCTACCTCCTCCCATGCCTTTACATTTACCTTTCCTTCCTCAGAAAAGCATGGACATACTTCTTGTATAAAACGTTCTGTCTGACTGGGAGTAACCTTAATTCCTCTGCTAGCAAGCATATGTGTTAAAAGAACAATACAGAGTCTTTTTTCTTTAGACTCAGTATGGCACATCTTCTTAATCTAAAGATCAATACAGAGTCTTCTTTCTTTGGACTCAGTATGGCACATCTTCTCAATCTAAGGATCAATACAGAGTCTTCTTTCTTTGGACTCAGTATGGCACATCTTCTCAATCTAAGTTCTGTACTATCCACCTTCTTACCCTACTTATCCTCTATAGGGGGGTCTGTAGCACCCTGGTGGAGTCCTATCCGTCCTGAGTGTGGGGGTTTTCAATGGGGGGGGGGCCTTACCTAGGGGAATCCTGTTCCTGGGGTTCCCAAAGGTGTGGACGGAGTCGGCGAAGACTATCCACCCTCTTCATACGGTGGAGTCCTATCCGTCCCGAGTGCAGGGCGCTTACCTAGGGGTCCCTGTTCGGGCGCCAGATGCCGGGGTCCAACCCCAGCAGGTCCAGGGGTCCCCAAAGGTGTAGACGGAGTCGGCGAAGAAGGAAGGACACGGAGACAGCGTTCAGTTGATCAGCAGCCTAGCCAGGATCTCTAGCCAGGATCTCCAGCCAAGTTCTGGTCTGGATCTCCAGTGAAGTTCTGGTTCAGGATCTCCAGCCAAGTTCTGAGTCCATGTTCTCTTGCTAGGTTCCCCAGCCAGGTTCTGTAGCCATGTTCCCTTGCTAGGTTCTCCAGCCAGGTTCTGTCCAGGTTCTCCAGCCAGGTTCAGTCACCAGGTTCTAGTCAGGTTCTCTTGCCCATTTCTGTAGTCAGGTTCAGTCCAGGATCTCTTGCCATGTTCTCTCCAGCGAAGTTCTTCTGTCTCTAGTTCTGTGTAGGTTCTGTCTTCTTAGTTCTGTGTTCTAAGTTCTGTGTTCTAAGTTCTGACTCTTGCTGTCTTGTTGCATCTGTATTTATACCAGTTGATTCAATCCTATCAATCTCTATTACAAAGGTTAGGGCGTTTCTTATCTTCATTCCAGGGAGTAAAGATTATGTAGCTTAAGCACGATTGTTCGTAGTTAAAGTGATTAATTACCCGCCTGGCACTTAGTTAAGAGGTTTTATTCCCTCCCTAACTTCAGGGGAAAATCCCCACCTGGGGAAACAACCTTTCTCAGAGACCTTGGTTAAAACACATAGTGCCAAGAAGGTGAGCAAACATATTAAGAACAGTATGCCATATATGCCAGGTCCCTTGAAACAGCAAGCATGGGCCGGCTCCCGGCAAGCCAAGAAAACAGGAATACTGTCTTAGCAGTTTATTCAATCTTATCAATTTCTCAATAAACCACCTTTCCCTGCATCATTTTAGTGATTTTGGTACAGGCAAATGAATTTTGTTCCAGGACCTTGATTTATCTGCGAGATAATACAATGGTTCACAATTTTACAAAATTCACCCTCTCTTTTGTAGCTGATCTTTCTGTGTTAGAGACTCTGGTTTTATAGGAAAACCTTTTCTGGTCACATAGGCCACTCCTACTGAACTTCACCACAGACCAAGAGTTCTTTTTCTGAAACTCCATTCCATGTAGTTGCTTCACAGCTCAGGGAGAAGCACATAACTGTCCATGCAGGTTCACACAAAGGCAATGAGTTCCAGATTCCCACAGCGCTAGTCTTCAAAGTCTCACTGGGGATACAGACATTGTTTTATCTTCTAGCTGAATAAAGTGGAGAAATGCAAGATCTGTGGGGATGAAGGAAAGCTCTTCAACTGCAGTCGTTGTTTCAGCTTCTTTCATAAAGACTGTTACATCCCACCTGTGGATCCTAAGAGGTTTGTGAGATGCACACCCCTCTCCTTCTATGGACCTTCTTCCTGCCATGCACACTCACAATGCACTCACCCAGACACCATCTCCCACCCAATAAACTGCTGCTTCTACTCTATGGAGCATGTTTTCACATGAGAGTCCTAGAGAATCTGGGAGGTGACCCCTCATTCCCTGGTTGTGCCTATCAGCCATTCCTGAAAGGAGGTCAGTGGCAGCCATGGGAATAGAGGTGTTTCTGGGGCTTGCCTTGCTTACTTACACCTTTCATTACAGGATCGGTTGGATATGTACCTTCTGCACAATAAAAATGTCTTCAAGAAGTCAGCAGTGTTACAGTGAATCTGAAGTCCTGGAGAGACAGATGGTGCCAGAAGAGAAGTTAGTGAGTTGAATTTGACCCAAGACATCTCCTTTCTGCTCACATGAGAAGTCAATCAGGAATGGGTGAGGGAAAGGGCTTCAAAGGGTTACAGCATGGCATTTAAGCTGCTCTTCTGACCATGCCTCAACCCTCAACCACACTGAAAATTCACCAGAACCTGGTTGCAGAAAGAAAAAGAAGAAAAATAACTTAGCTATTATATGTTAGTGTCCAAGAGCAATCCCTGTTCAGGGAAACTTCCAGAAGACTACTGTGGTCATACATCTGTCTGGGCATGCATATGGGCTCATTCTCTCCGAGCTGCTTTTCATTCACAATCTCCTTCTTTTGCAGAAATGTGAACTCCTCCTCCTAAAGGTCTATTGCCATTTAGAGAGCAACATTTTTCCGAATATTCCACATGAAAATTATGTGAGTAAGAACAACAAACCATGATTACAAGCCTCCTTAATATTACCCCACCTTGACATGGTCACTGTGGGATCTGTGATATGAAGCCCATGGGAGGGAGAGCATGTGAACTGTTTTTCTATTTACCTTGCATTTCCACTGGATTTTATGGAATCCACAAAAGACAGACATTGACCTGTGTCAGTAATACTCCTATTGATATATTTTTTTCTTCAGTTTCAAAAGGCTTCTCAATGCCTAAAGACACTTAAGGACTTGGATGAAATCAAGGATAGTCTAAATAAAGAATGTTATTCCAAAGTGGAGGAGTTTGTGCTTAAAGTGAACAACATCTTTCAGGATCCTAAGGTAAGTGGCTCTCCCTGCTTCCATTTCATTTTCTACTCATTGAGTCACTCTGCCTGCATTTCCTGGTACTGGGTGATTTTAGAGTTTCCCTCATCCTATGACAAGCCTATACAAGGAAGGATTCAGGAAGTGACTGGGTTTTTAAACTGAGGATTTAAGCTCACCAGAGAGAGCAACAGTGAATAAGGAGTTATCCTTGCAACCAGACTTCAGGCCCCTGAGAGCTCATTTCTCTCCTCATAGGTGACAGGTGACCATTGAGAACAGTGGTGTCCTCCCTGTTCAAAACCTAAGGAGAAAATTGCTTCCTAAAGTCATGTTATCCTTCTTACCTCTCCCCAAATACACTCAATCAGACCTCTCAGAGGCCCCAAACTGCAGATAGATTTCTTTGCATGTAAATGAACCGTATACAGCAACATATCACCAGAGAGGAATAGAATTGACAATGTGATAGGAAGACCACTGATTGTACATCTGTAATATTTGATTGTTACCTTAGATTACTTTTCTAACTCTCACTGAAACAACCCAAAGCCAATGACTGAGAGTCCTCTGTATAGTAATGATTTCCCATTTCTGTCTAGACAACAAGAGTTAATGATGCTGTTAGGAAACAAAAGTTACCCTTACCAGCTTGAGATTTTTTTATTGTTTTGTTTTGTTTTGTTTTTGTGGGTTTGTTTTTGCTTGTTTTTAAATATATTTTTATTGATTTCAAAGAGAAAGGGAGAGGGAGAATGAGAGGTAGAAACATCAATGATGAGAGAGAATCATTGATCAGCTGCCTCCTTCACGCCCCACACTGGGGATTGAGCCCACAACCTGGGCATGTGCCCTGACCAGAAGTAAACCATGACCTCATGGTTCATAGGTGGACACTCAACCACAGAGCCACACTGCCTGGGCTTAGCTGCTTGAGTTTTTAAACTTATTCTGTTTAATGTAGCTTAAGTGTTTAAAACAAGAGTTCTGATCATTTTCCAATGCACATTGTCTAATGACACTGATATTGTCATTATTTTTGTCTGTGTGTTTTTTCCCCAGCACAATGACTCAGACCAAACAGAAGAGGAATTTAAGAAGAATTTCAAAGACATCTTTGCCATTCAGTAAACAAATCAGAACAGTTCACTAGTGTAGTGTATGCTGTTGATACCCTGGAAAATCTTGCTTTCAGGCAGATTTCTTATCCCTGGTGTTATGTGTATTGATTGCTTATGCCATCTCTCCCCAGTGTATTTCTTTGGGCCAAATGGAGGCATATTCACCTGAAGGTTAAATCTCTTTGTCCTGGGAGCTGGTTCCCAGCACCAAAGATGAACCAATCATGTGAGTGATTCATGTTCCTGTGCTCCTCAGGGAATCAGGCTAGAGCTGGTCTCCACTTATGACCACATCCTTACTTAGCATTTCCCAGCACAGTGTCCTGCCTCCCTTATCCCTTCTCCTCCCAAGAAAATTCTCACAATAAATCACTGACAAAAGAGGCTTTGTCTCAGGCTTTGCTTTTAGGGAACCCAACTTCACATTATGGTATAGCAAGCCAGACCTAAGCATGGAGTTCTGAACTGAATCACTGTCTTGCCAGCTGGCAACAGATGGAATACTGTTAGTCCCTAAGGTACTAAAACAGTGCAGTTGCAAAACACATTCACCTGTATGAATGAGATATAGGGGAAGAGGCAATTGTCTAACATTTACAAAGAAATAGTAACTATAAGAACTGTGTGATTAGATGGCTATTTCTTTTTAAAAAACTATTTTACATATGCTTTTATTAATTTCAGAGGGAGGGGAGGATAGGGAGAGAGAGAGAAACATCAATGATGAGAGAGAATCATAGATTGGCTGCCTCCTGCAAACCCCCTAATGGGGATTGAGCCTGTAACCCAGGCATATGCCCTGAACAGGAATTGAACCATGGCTCCACGCTCAACCAGAGCCATACCAGCCTGGCTAGGTGGCTCTTTCTAAGCTCATTTAAAGTGTCAAAAAGAGTACATGACAAGCTTATATATTAACTACCACCTGCATCTGGAAGGTACACAATATGGAAGGCCTGGTGCAGGCCCTAATTTTAAGAATGACGGACTTCTGCCCACCCTGAGTGTCTCAGTTAGTTGAGCATCCTCCTGTGCAGAGAAAGTTTTGCCTCATGGGTTATGTGTCAGTCCTGGGTCATGATGTGTATGAGAGGCAACTGATAGCGTTTCTCTCTCTGTCTCTCTCTCCCTCTTCCTCTGTCTAAGCATGTGTTTGGGTGAGGATTATATATTTTTTAAAAAGAATGATAGAACTTCAGAGAAGACTGAATTCTAAGCTCAGGTTGGTCTCTTGTGCCCAAACCCTGATAAAGAAAACATCAAGCCCTGAAACTCAGAATGGGGCTTTCTAAGTAGATGCACCTGAGGACTCTGAACTCTAGATCCTTCTGAACCCACTGTCCTGCAAGAGAGACCCCTGTCCCTGTTGGTAGACAGACCACTGCCCTAACCCCCGCCCCCCATTTTGCCTGAACTAAGATTATGCAGAGTTCTCTCAGCAAGACCAAACTAGGAATATACTAGATGAGCCTGCTAGCTGAAGAGATAGTTTACTCCAACAGAGCTTCAGGTCTGGCCAACATGTGCTAACTGTCACAGCAAGATGAGGAATTTGTGTAATGGGCAACAATATGTCATCAAAAGAGATTATAAATAGATGATCATCTATCATCTGTCATCCCTATTTTATATTCTAACATAGTTTTTCCAGGATTCACTCCCACACACAACCACTGAGCCATCCTGGCCAGCCAGTCCTGGTCCTTTAGAAAGCTCATCCAGAGAACCCAGATAGCCAGGGTGACAAGCCTATGGTTCAGATGATCCACGGAACCAGATCTATAACTCCATCTAGCAGCAGAGCCCCACCAATGGCCCTATCCAATTGACTAATACAGCCTATGCCCTCACCCATTCAGGCAGCCTAGCCAGTGAGCCCACACAATCATGAAGCATAGCCTGTAGCTCCACCCAATGAGGGATCCTGGAGGTGACTCTGCCCAATGTGGAACAGTCTCTATCCCCATCCAATGCAGTCTGCCACTGGAGGCCCTTCTCAATCAGAAAATGTGGCCAATAACCATGTCCAACATCAGAGAACAGCTAGAAAGTTAACTTATTGGGAAGCCCACCCTGTAGCACAGCCAACTTCAGGGAAAGACCAATGGCATCACCAGATCTCAGATCACAATCAAAGGCCCAGTATGAGTGTGAAGCCCTTATAGTAGCCCCAACTGAGCATTAAGTCCAGCCAGAGACACCATCAGACTAGGGAACACAGCTTGAAACTCTACCCAACCAGGAGCTATTGCAGAGCCCAGCCTGTAACCCTGACAAATTACAGAGTGCAACCTTGGCACCAACATACCACAAAACACAGCCTGAAACCTCACTGAACAAGAGATGACTGCAGAGCTCAGCAAGTGGACCCATCAATCCCCAGAGTACAGCCAGCAGCTCTCCTGTACTGAATTCCAACATGAGCTGACTGTTGAAGGCATTTTTCTGGTGAAGTGAATCTGTTAAGTCTATGAGAGGAGATTGCTTATTTATGTGCACTGATACCAAATAAAGGGAATCAAGGATCATGAATATTCAGGTAAACATTGCACTACTACCAAAAGAAACCCCCCCAAAATAAAAAACTAATAAACTCTAATAACTACACTTAAAGAAATGGGGATATATATAAGTTGTCTGACAAGGAATTTGGAATAATCCTATTAAAGAAGTTCAGTGAACTATAAGAACCCATAGACAGACAACTAAAAAAAAAAAAAAAAAAAAAATGAACTGAATGAGAAGTTTAACCAAAAAGAGAAACTATAAAAACAAACCAGAAATCAATAAAAAATATATATTTTTAAAGTCTTGAAAAATAAAATAAATAAATACAAAGAACTTTTTAAGTGACCGGGAATAAATTTATTGAAATCAATAAGAATAGCTATTCTGGAATCATTAATTTAGGCAGAAATCCTTTGTGCATCCTTCTCTGAGTGTATCCCTCTTAGTCCCTCTGTGCAGGGACAGTTTAATTCTTTTCCCCTGGTGGCGCCTCCTTATGACATCCACTTCTGTCTCACAACCACTGAGTCTTCACGAAGCTGCAGGGGCCACCTCCACTGCTTCTGTTCTGTTCAGCAACTCTGAGGTCCCGTCCATGGATCCTCCACTCAACAGAAGCACCCACTTACAAGCCAAAAGAAGCAAAGGCCGCTGCCCAATGGCACCTTCTGTGTGCTGAGTGGAGATAATTAGAATGAGCTAAGTGTACGACTTTTCAGGCTACATATGCATCACTTGGCCATCCTAAGGTTCAGGACATTCACCAACCGGTGGTCCGTGGACCACTGGAGGTCCGTGAGGTCCGAAAGGTTGGCAACCGCTGGTATAAGGAAACCTTTGGAGCAGCGGTCACCAGCCGAAAGGGTCACCATTATTAGTAATGGATGTAGGAGGAACTTGCAGAAATATTAAGAGTGGGGCTTCACTGTTCATTCAATGGCCTCCTTCACTGGTACATCCCAACTTCTTGTGGTGCCCAGCCCAGCTAACACTCTGGGTCTCGCTGGGAGACCCCAGGTCGAGGTAATTCCCAAGAAACATTCCTCCCCCTTCCTAGGGGCAGGACTGACACCTACATCCTTGCTTTTTTCTTATGAGGCAAGTCTGATGTGGAAATGCCTGGTCCCAGTGATGGCAGCAAGATTCCACCAGGATTCCCGGGATTAAACATGGTGAACCCCATAAAAGTTCAGCCTGTTTTTTCAGTCATGCAGTTGGGCATCTCAGTCAATAAGAGTTGGGTGAGGCTAAGGCTGAGGTTCTGATCCTCCAGGAGGCAGAGAACCCTAATGGTGGAGGAGGGTGAAGACAATCCCCAAGGGAGACAGTGGTTGGGTCATGGCAAATATGATACCCCACAACTTCCTTAAAATCTCACATTTTCTCTTTATCAGTCACTCTATGTCATTCATTTTTTAACTTGTTTAATAATTTTATTGCTCTACATAGCTCCACCTAGTAAAATCAATATGCCTGGCAGGGATGTCAGAATGATTCTCTTGTGTGCACCCTGGGAATGCCAGTCTCAAGCCAAGGAGAATCAGGTTTGAGCAGTTCTGTCTCCAGGAAGGTGAAAAAGGCAAGGTCACTGTGGGGCTTCAGGACAGAATGAACCTCTCTGGGAAATAGAGGGGCTCTGAGTTGGTGGGAGGGGCCACAGTTTCAGGACCCCCCTCAATTTTAAACCCAGACTTCTCTGTCCATATCATAAGCTGGTTTTTGTGCTCAGGAACTGCCAAATATCAAAATTACCTCAAAATTAAATCCATAAGTCATTTCACCTTTATTTAGATAGAAATAATGGTGCTTCTATTGCTAATTTAGAGAGTTCAGGGGTGGGCAAACTTTTTGACTCGAGGGCCACAATGTGTTCTTAAACTGGACCGGAGGGCCGGAACAAAAGCATGGATGGAGTGTTTGTGTGAATTAATATAAATTCAAAGTAAACGTCATTACATAAAAGGGTACGGTCTTTTTTTTTTTTTTTAGTTTTATTCATTTCAAACGTGCCGGATCTGCCTCAGGGGCCATAGTTTGCCCACGGCTGGTTTAGATAGACACAATCTTGAGAGAACAGGGATAACATGTCCCCCCTTCATCCATTACTAATCATGGTGACCCTTTTGGACCTTGTGGACCACCAAGGGTCTAACAATCTTGAGAGATAAGGGATTGTTAGTTTTGGTTCTCTAAACAGGCAACCAGATGCAGTTCTGTAGGTTTCATTCCTGCCCTCAGAAAGAGGGAAGAATGTTTCTTGGGAGTTACATCAACCTGGGTCTCCCAGTGAGTCCCAGAGTGTTAGCTGGGCTGGGCACCACAAGAAGCTTGGATGTACCAGTGAAGGAGGCCATTGAATGAACAGTGAAGCCCCACTCTTAATATTTCTGCAAGTTCCCCCTTCATCCATTACTAATACCATTCACGACCAATAGAGGGAAGTGCAGATGTGGCTGGAGTCAAGTCTGGGAGGAAAGGGCTACCCAGTTGATGGTAATGGGGACTTTTAGATGCTAAAATGAGCACTGTGATGGCAGTAACAGGGTCCTTCCTTTGTTTGTGTCCACACCGTGTGTCTGAGGCTGGGTGGTCATGAGAGAGAGGCATTATGTGGTTTCAGGGGGTTTCAGGGAGTGTGGTGCTAACCAGCAGTAACCAGGGTACTGTAATGGGGCAACCCGCAGAGACAACCACCAGGGACTCAGATCAAGATTTAGGAGCTTTTATTAAGCTGGCCTGCGACTACAGTTACAGCAACCTGCAGAAGCAAAGGCTGAACTGCCGTGCTTACTACCAGAGTTACAGCATTTTTATTTGCAAAAACCACAAAGTTAGTTACAAAGCCTTCTTTACACAATTTGTTCCAGACACAGTA